AAAAAAAAAAAAAAAACAATCCACATTGGGAGGGCGAAGTATTGAGGAAGGGCATGAATATAAAACACTTCTCCAGGGTCTGGCTTGCGCAGTGCGGTGGACCCTGGTGCCATCCACTGACATGGAGGATAGAGTGGGTGCCCCTCTAAAGTGAGGTGGCTAAGTCACAGGTTCAGTCTGGAAATGCGAGGTCAGAGACACCTGAGCAGAGACGATGGGTGGGACTCGATCCAGCTTCCTCTGGAGCCTGGAGCTACGGCAGATGTGAGTACTAGCGCCCAGACTCCTGACCGCACTGTTTCTGTTCTTCCCCCTCTTGTCCCAGCCGTTCTCACAGGGATTCGGTGTTTTAAGGTGACAAAAATAATATCTATGAAAAGTATTACAAGTAAATTACATTTATTTTATTATTTTTAATTTTAAAGTGTTTTCATTAGTATGCATCTGCAGTATAAAATGATTACATTCATCTTGGGGAGTTGGTACATGTCCATAACACATCTTAATGGAAGTAAATTCAATTTAAACAGTTTTTAAAATATCCTTTAAGTTAAGTTGGAAAACTGGGTTAAGGTCAGAAACCGTATTGAAAGAGTTTCAGGATCACAAGATGTATTTAACTACAGTCCTCCAGAATGACCACCATGCTTATCCCCACTAGAAACTCCTGACATTCACATCTGTGTCTATTGTCCACAGGCCTTTGTTAGTGGTTTTGCTTCCTTTTAACAACAAGGAGAGTCTCTGTACCTAAAATGATCTTGGTAAAAAAAAAAAAAAAAAATCTTGCAATCCCAGTTGGTCCAAATTACCAAGTCTCATCACACCTTTCAGAAGTCACAGATAGCAGGCAGGGTGCCCAAAGACTAAACAGAAGCAAAATTAAACTTTTTTTGGTTTTTTGACTTAAATCAGATTCTCTCAACATCACCACTATTGATGTCTAGTGCCAGATAACTTCCGTTGTGGAACTCTATTCTGTGCATTGTGTGATGTTTAACAGCTTTCCTGGCTTCTGCTACTAGGTTCCAGGAGCACTCACACATATGTGACAACCAAAAATGCCTCCAGACATTGCCAAATGTCCTTTGCTGAAATGGGGAGAAGGTAATATGCAAAATCACCCCAAATTAAGAACCACTGATGAGCTGAGTATAGTGGCAAATGCCTATAATTCCAGCACTCAGGAGGAGGCTGAGGTAAGAGGACTCTGAGTTCAAAACCTGCCTGGGCTACAGAGCAAGTTCAAGGCCAGTCCGTACTACATAGCGAGACACTGCTCCAGAACTGCGCCTCCCCCAAAAAAGAACAACTGATGTAGAAAAGAGAGAATGTTTTACATCACTGATTATTATTTCCACTTCCGTAGAGCAGGAGTGGTTAGCTCTGTCCACTAGATGACCAGTAATAGTGTAGTGTGTCAGATGTGCTTTCCTGCAGAGATAGTGAAGCCTCCGGGTTCTAGGGTAAATAGAGGCTCCAGCCGTCAACTGCTTTGGAGCACGTCTTCTCCAGCTGTAGGGAGGAAGGGCCAACTCCTGCCTTACCCAGTTGGTTAGGCCACCTCTGTGCCTGGACAGACAGTCCCATCTGGCCAAAGCACCAGGCAGAATTTGGGGGAGTGAAGATCCACTGCTGTTATTCTGGATCACATAAGTGTTCTGTAGGTATTTATTGGAAGGATGGATGGATGGACTCTCTGTGGAAGGCTGGAAAGTACCAGAAATATAGTTTCCTCCTGAGGCCCCTATTTTGGGGGAGATGCTAATTTTGCACACATGTGTACGCACATGCGCGTGTGTGTGTGCATGTGTGTGTGTGTGTGTATGTGTGTGTGTACGTGATATTAGGATTGAACCCAAGGCCTTCATACTGAGCTACATCTTCAACCCTTTTTTTATTTTTTATTTTGAGTCAGGGTCTTGCTAAGTCACTAAGTTGCTCTGGCTGGGCTGAGACTTGTAATCTTCCTGACTCAGCCTCCCAGAGTGTTGGCATTCCAGGCCTGTGTTATCACACTCAGCAAAATTGCCAGTTTTCTGGATGCAGCCTTAGCCCCGGGTGCCACAATGTCCAAGAGAAACTCAAGTCAACATCACCCCTATCAAGAGGCCAAGCCAGAGGGCTGTGCCCGGAGAGCCCGCTGGAACCAGGAGAGTGGCCTCCTCCTGGACTGAGCTCTTCTCTTTCCCTTACAGGAAACCAGCCCATGATGAAGAGCCTCACTCTGCCTGCCCTGTCCCTTCCCATGAAGCTGGTGAGCTTGGAGGAGGCTCAGGCCCGCAGCCTGGCTATGAACCACCCAGCTCGAAAAGAAAGGAGAGAGAACAGCTTGCCCGAGATTGTTGCCCCCATGGGCACCCTCTTCCACACTGTCCTGGAGTTACCAGACAACAAGTAAATGCATTCCTGTAGTTTCCAGGGGATGCGTGGGCAGAGAGGAGAGAGGAGCAGAGTATCATCTCAGGGCCATGATGTGGGCTGGGGATGCCCACCAATGTGGTGGGCTGCCGAGGAAATTGCAAAAGACCAGGGACGGTCTCCACCACTCACTCACACCAGTGGCAGCGCCTTCACTACCACCCCAGAGTCACTGAGACCACCTGTCTACTGCCATAGCCCCCAAGCCCTAGGATGGGGATGGGGTTCACAGGGATCTCATCACAAGTCACGACTAAAATCCTTGACTTCTTTCCTTACAAAAGGAAATTTACAAAAACAAAAACCTGACCTCCTCTGCTTGAGCCTCCACCCCCTTTCCCCATTACAAGAGGCACAGAGATGAAACTCTGGACGAGTGCAAATCGACAGTTAGTGCCCCTAGACGGAGCACACACGGGACACACCTCGGCGCCTCTCCTCTTCACAGCCTATCGAGCTGTGCCTCCCTCCAAAGCAAACCAAGCACCCTCCGTGTCAGTAGGATGTGTTCTGTCCCTGTTCTTCCTTCCAACCCTCTCCACTGCACTTTTTCTCTGTCCACCCCTCTCTGAAACCTCTCTGGAAGAGGCAGTGACTGGAGCAGGCGTCATCTCCTGGGAGGTGTCGGCCTGGCAGCTGAGAGACGTGAAAACATGTAGCTCATGTCGGTGTCCTCCCCACGGCGTGGGCTGTTTCCTTCTGGGGAGGCAGGATGAGGGCTGTCGCCCTGCACTGTCACACTGCGTGCTCCAGCAGTGGGAGAACCTGGAACCAAGCCCACAGTGCTCCCTGATCAGTGGAGAATAACATTCCTTCCTGGAGATCAGGGAGAATTCCATGGAGGAAACATCAAGTGCATTTTCTTTATGCTTTCAGCTACAGCTGAAGTACACCTTACCCCAAGCCCTGCCGCCCTAGAAAGCACACTCCAAGGCCAAGTGCTAAAAATGAACATAGGGCAAGACCAAAGGAAACCTCCAGGCACTCGGATCTATTTCAGATTGATCATAAAGACAACTGAGACAGCCTGGAGTTAGTGGTGCACACATGCAATCCCAACACTCCAGCAGGCTGAGGCAGAAAAATCACAAGTTTGAGCCCAGCCCAGGCAACTTACCAACTTTGTGTGAACCTATCATAAAAACTTTTAAGAAAAAAATCGAAAGGGCCGGGAATATAGCTCAATGAGAAGGCCCTGTATTTAATCCAGTACCACACACGTGGGCGCTTAAGATCTGGATGTTCTATGGAAGCTCATTAGAGAAAAGACCCTTTGTGGGACTTCAGGTTATAGAGTTCCACCCTGGAACTTTCCGAGGTTTGGTGGTAGACCTGATGGCCGCAAGGCTTGCCTCGGTGGTGACCCCTAGTGGGTTCTGACCCACCTTGGTGCTGTCCCCTCTCACTCAGGTAGCTGGTAGGAGACAAAGCTGGGGCACACTGGCCGCCCTCTGCATTTCTCCCCCATGACCACTGAGCCCACCCCAGCACACCAAGCCACTCCTCCCGCTCTTTCTCTCCCTCCTTTTCAGTCCATGAAAGTCTCCCCAGCCCTCACCTCACCAGTGTATGTTCCAAAGTGTGACCACCATGCAGAGGACAAAGCAGGACTGGGGTCTGTGCTCTCTAGTGTTTATTCCTCTAAAAAGTACTGGTATCTTTGAAAAGCCAGGACTGTAGCTTTTACGAGAATTCAGAACCGTGTGATCTCATATGACCTTTGAGCCTCCCACCAAACCTACCTCTGTTTGCTCCACTCCTACCTTTAATAGACAGCTTTGGCTCTGGCTCTGGGGAAAGGGATCTTTTCTCTGACTCAAAATAGCCTTGTTTGGCCACCTGGAACACCCCAAGTCAGGGTGAGAGGGGCTTCCTTTGGATTGTATGGGGGAATTTCCTGAAACGCCAGGACTATCCTTTACTAAGAACATGATTCAAATCATCTTCTTCAACGTAAAAGTTCCCTAGAAGTGACAGGTTAAACTAACCTTTTACCGTTTGGCTCTTTTAGGAGAAAGCTTTCCAGCAAATCAAAGAAGTGGAAATCTATATTTAACCTGGGCCGTTCTGGGTCAGACTCCAAATCGAAGCTGAGTAGAAATGGGAGTGTGTTTGTGAGAGGACAAAGGCTCTCAGGTAAGAAGTGATAGGAGCTACAGCTTCTGGTGCAAACGTTTTCTTTTCTAGGTCTGTTTCCTAAATGTTTCATTTGATTGCATCAAAATCTCTAGCTCTGCCAGGCATGGTGGTACACACGTGAAATCCCAGCACTCTGGAGGCTGAGGAAGGAGAATCATAAGTTTGAACCCAGGCTGGTCAATTTAGTGACTTAGGGAGATTCTGTCTCAGAATGAAAATATTGTAAAAGGCGGGCTGGGGATTTAGCTCAGTGGCACTGTACCTGCCTCGCGAGTACAAAGTCCTGAGTTCAATCCCTTGTAGGTACCAAAAAAAAAAAAAAAAAAAAAAAAAGTGTAAAAGGGGCTATGGATTGTAGCTCAGTGTGAAAACCCTGTGTTCAACCTTATTATCCCCCCAAAAATAAAGAAAGAAAATCACTAGTCCTAGCCCTGAAAGAGAAATTTCTCAACCAGTAAATCTTTTAAAATATAATAATAATAAAAATAATAATTTTTTTTTTTTTTTTTTTTGCTTACAGAGAACCTGTATACCCTTCATGCAGCTTCTCTTAAGGCTAACATCTTCATAATGGCAATACAACTATCTCAGCCAAAAAAAACATTAATAAAACCTTTTTATTTAACTGTGCTGATGGTTGAATCCAAGGCCTTAACACATGCTAGACATCCACTTTTTCCCTGAGCTACATTCCCAGCCCTTTTAATTTTAGACAAAGTGACTAAATTGCCCAGGCTAACCTCAAACTTATAGAGTCCTCCTGAGCAGTGGGGATTACAGATGTGAGCCACCTCGCCCAGCTTAATGTACATCCTCATCCGTACTTGACCAATTGTGCCACTGATTTTCCTTTCTTCTAGTCGAGGATTTAATCCAGGAGCCCAGATTGCATTTGGCTGTCAAATCTCCTCTACTCTAGGACAGTTCCTTAGTCTCCCTTATCTTGATACTTTGGAAGAGTACTGGTAATTTATTTTGTAGAATTGTGCTTCACTGTGAGTTTGCCTAATATTTTCTCGTGGTTAAACTGAGGCTACAAATTTTTACAGGAATTCTATGGAAGTCATGTTATTCCTGCTCATTGTGTAGTATCAAGAGACACCTAATGTCAGTATCTTATTGTTTGTGAAATTGACTTTGGTCACTTGATTAAAGTGTTATCAGTCATGAATTTTAGCATCAGTGAATGAGTTCTTGCCTACAACAGGTACTACTGTGATTTTTCCAAATGGTCTTTTCCTAGTCGTTGAAATTCTTCTATAAAGAAAATCTGCTCCTTCTCCCTCGGGGGCATGATTCCCCCATGGAATTTATTTCTAAGTAATGAATAGAAATCGATGCAAGAAAGAAACGAAGGAACCACTGTGCAAGGAAGAATCTAACCAATCCAGCTGAACATTATGTCAGGAAAGAGGAGACCAAGGAAATTTCCCGCAATGATTTATTTAGTATTACAGATTCAAAGTATGGCTTTTTTAAAATGAGGGCAATGATTGTGAAAAACAAGTTGTAAAAGGTAAATATACAAATCCAATGAGTAAACTTGGACTGGGTCCTGGACTGAAAAAAGGAAGCTACAAAAAAGGCAGTCTTATTTTAGGATTCCCTATTTTTAATGTTCATACAGAGATTTCTTTAACTGAAATACCAAATAGTTTCTCTGGTGTGGAAAACTATAATAGTACACAGGATGGATCCTAATGAGATAATTAATAATGTGAAGTAGGAAGTAAAGGGCTAAAGGTGTAGGGAAAGTGGGAAGGGTGGGGGAAAGGTAATAAGGGAGAGGAAAAAAATACGAGAAACTGAAAAAATGGAAATAAAGTGTTTGTAAATGGGGAGGGGAGGAGGGGGTGAAGGGAGGGCAGGGACAAGGGGAAAAAATGAGAATTAAGACCTGTTATGTAAAGGTACAAGATCCCAATGATGAATGTAACTGTATTGTATACCTAGATTGTACCAATAAACTTAATTTAAAAAAATAAATAAAAGATGCATGCTGGAAAAAAAAAGGCAGTCTTAGAGACAGATAAGGAAAATGTGGATATGGATTGAATATCAGATGATATTAAGGGAGTATAAATTTTTATATTGTGTTAATGGTTCTTAGAAAACATACACTAAAGTTGAAGTATTGGAGAATGAAGTCAGAATACTGAAAGTCACTTTCAAATAATTCATTGAAATGTAGGTAAGCAGATAGATACAGATATAGATATAAAAATAAATAAAGCAAATTAAAGTCTAAAATATTGAAGCTCACTTTCAAATAATTCAGTGAAATATAGGTAGGTAGATGTAGATAGAACGTAGATGAAGCAAATATGTGGAAAATGTCAATAATTGTTAGGTCAATAGCTATTAGGTTTAAAAGTCCAACTTTTCTGATTGTTTGGAATTTTTAATAAATATTAGGTAGAAACTAATTCCTGTAGGAGAAATGAGAAGGGGTATTTTTAAGGACTTTCCTCAAAACCAGTGATAATTCTATGCCAAGGGTCAAAAGGTACAGATGTTAGAAATCTCCCTATTTCTCAATTAGAGTAATGAAGGACACCACAGCACACAGCAGTTACAATGATTGATGCTCTAAATAACAGCAAATCCAAGTGACTCATGCAAGAAGAGAATTTAGTGGCTTCTATAGCTGGACATCTGGATCTCGGGAAGGCTTCTGGCATGATTTAATACAGTGGTGTTGTCTCCATTCCATTTTCCTCAGCTGTGCCCTCCTGTGGGCCAGCTTCCTCCGCACACTGGCTTATTTTGCTGTGGCAAAGGTTTTGCCTTTGGCTGTCACGATGTCTAAAGAGAAAGAACATCATTTCCACTGATTTTTTCTAAGAATGGCTCCCATGGCCGGGTTGTGTGAGTCTCTATGGCCAAAGCAGTGCTGTATGCTGATTGGCTGAGGCTGGGCTTCTGAGTCGATCTGAAATGACACATAAGAAGTGCAAGAGCTCCATGAGAAGGACAAAGGAAAGTAGATTCTGTATCGATCTATAACATTCACAGGACAGGGAAACATATCTTTCACAAAATGTGAAGATAGCCCAGATGAAGAAGACAGGTTGCTAGCGTTTGGCAGAATAGACATAAATAAAAAAATTGAGATTCTCAAAACAGAATGGAAGGGAAGAGTACCTGACAAGAAACTTTTGCTCTATAATAAGAGATCGATTAAGTACATCAGAGGGAGAATTTCAGTTACAGAATCAGTGATACAGCAGTGTCAATGCAAGAGGCTCGCCTGTAATAAAACATCAAAAGCTAACAGAACAAAACAAATGAGCAAAAATGAAATAAATGATTTGCCTTGATCTTGGCTTAGAAACATTTCCACCCCCATGTGGCTTTCAAAAGGAACAAATCCAAGGGGCTAGACCAAGTGTTTGTAAACTCACAGGACATCCAGTGTCCATATATCAGGAGTTGCCCACAGGAACGGTCACCACCACAGCAGTTTCACCTCAGGTGTGAGTGGCAAGGTGAGAGTTTGTCATGCTTTATAAGCTCCCCCAGTGACTCTGCTCTCCAGCCAAATTGAAAGTCACTGCCCTGAGATCTTTTTTTGGGGGGGTGGGGGTACCGGGGATTGAACTCCGGTCCTTGTGCTTGCAAGGCAGCCCACCAAACCACTGAGCTAAATCCCCAGCCCACTGCCCTGAGATCTTAACAAACACACTAACCAGACAGAGAATTCACCAAACTGGCAGAGCTCTGAGACAGACAGAAAGAAAAGGAAGAAGGAGGAGGGGGAGAAGGAGAAAGGATCCAACACCAAAGGTGGACCTCAGGGCTCCCCAGAGAGAACTACTCCCCCTCTGTGACACTCTGGGTCACCTAGTCTTTGCCCCTAGGTCAACAAATGCAAACCAGAGAAGGTCAGAAATGCAGATCCTGGAAACAAAAGCAAAGCACGTCTCAGAATACACAGACAAAGGGGCGCCAGCCAGACAATTTAAGATAATAAATCAGTTTCTAAACTTGTAGAAATAGCAGCTTTTCTAAGGGTAAGAACTCCGGTATGCTCCTGAAAGGCAGGAGGGTGAGCCAAGCACTGCCCATGCCAGGGTCTGAGGGAAGATGACGGCACCCTCCTGCGGCTGCCCCACTCAGAGAGAATCACTAGGCTGAAGAGGCCAGTGGACCAGGTCAGTGCTCCCTAGGAGGAGCAGGGTTTGCAACAAGGAGGAAAAAGCTGGAGAACTTTAAAGGAAGAACAAAAACAAGTGTGAGTTAGGGTCCATTTGGATTCGGGCCAGCTCAGACTGCTTCTGTAGAATCATCTCCCTCTCCCTCTTTGTTGCGGAGCCCGGGTGGGTCCTGAATAGCAACAGTCAACAACATTGTCTTTTACTGAGTACTTCCTCTCTCCCAGCTTAGTGCAACATAATGACACTAGAGTCATTTCTCACTTAGTCCTCACACCAGATGTATTTTCCTCATTTTACTGTCAGAAATCTGAAGTAAGGGAAAAGTCAGCTGTTTATTTGAGGTCACATGGCCCCGAAGTGGTAGGTTGGGATCTGTGTGAGCCCAGAGTTACCTTAGTGTTGCTCATGCTGGGGCTCTGCTGGGTTCTCAGTTGCCCTCTTTCTCCTAGTAAGTGGGACCTACAACGAACTACCTCCAAGCCTGTCCAGGTCCCTGAAAAGAGAAGGTGTGTGAACATGCCCATCTTAGTCTGTTTTCTGTTGCTATAACAGAATTGTGAGACAAGTGACTTATAAAGAACAGGGGTTTATTTTGGATCACAGTTCTAGAGGCTGGGAAGTCCAAGATTATGCCACTGGCATTCACTTGGCTTTCGGTGAAAGCCTTATATTGCTTCAGCTCATGGTAGAAATGGATGAAGGCAAATCAGTACAGAAGAGAGAAAGGGGGGCCAAATTCTTGTGATAACTAAGCACTTTCTTCAAGAAAGGCGCTAATCCAGTCATCAGGGCCCCACCCACATCACCCAAACACCTGCCACTAGGTCCCACCTAGAACTGAGGATTTGAGACTCCAGCACATGAGCTTTTGTGGGATCCAGATGAAGCATAGCAGTGTCTAACTATACTCTTTCCTAAAACCCCTCTATAGCACCTTACAAAGATGTACAGAGGATTCCCATGCACATAGTAGGTACTCAGAACAGGTTTGGTTTGCTTGGGATCTGAACCAGGATGAGGTTGGTGAGTTAAATCATTGGAGAAACCATCCATTCGCACCCTTCCAGGAGTAGAAATGTATGTACATGGGGAGAAGGGGTTCTGGCTCCCCAACTCCCACTGAACCTGTGAACCTAATTCCTGGGCACCGACAGATGGCTGCAGTCACAAATCCTGCTCTCTTGCCCAATGGGGCCCCTTGGGCTCATCCTTGAATATTTTTATACAATTAAACTGGGCTCAGGACTCAGTTACTCATAGCCACTGGACAAAATCGAAATCTACCTTTATCTGTAAAATTTTGATAAAGCTTTGATCTATCATTACCTTGTTTTTAAAAGGTCATACTCATTAAGAAATTAGGAACAGCAGGGTGCTCTGATATATACCTCTAATCCTCCCAGCACTCAGGAGACTGAGGCAGGAAGGTCCTGAGTTAAAGGCCAGGCTCGGCAATATAGCAAGATTCTGTCAGAGAGAGGATGGTGGGGAGGGAGGATATGTTTCCAAAGGGGTAAATTATAAATGCTTGAAAAACTTACCTAAAGAAATTTCTCTTGTGTGCTTACAGCCTGACCTAGTATTCTGAATACTCTTAATATGCATTCATCAGGGATATTTTTTTTCCTTTGTCTTTAGTGGAAAAGGCTGCTATCCGACCAGCTAAGAGCATGGACTCCCTCTGCTCAGTGCCCGTGGAAGGTGAGGTTTTACAGTTTCTGAACTGGGCACTTTGCTGGAGACCAGAGCTCACCCACACTTGCCAGCTGCTCACCCGTGGCTGTGATCATGCATGATCACCCAGGCCCAATCTCTCCCGAGATCGAGGGTTTCTCACAGCTCTTGCCATATCCTCCCTTACTCTACCACCAGCAAGGCGTCAAGAGCCTTCCTCTTCCTCCAGCCTTCCTCTAGCCACAGCCAGGAAGCACAGTTACTTTTCATTGAAACCTGAGCCAGGTAAAAGGTCAACACCTGAGAACTAAAAGTGGATGCGGCCTGGGCAGAAAGAGTCAAGTACTGAATTCTACCTTGTGTTTTCCCCTGTGTACCTCACGGTTTTTATCTATCAGTAAACCTTTACTAGGCGCCTACTTGCGTTGGGCGAGTGTAGTTGGTGCACGATATGCTGTGTTGCGTGTTGCATGTTGTGTATGCGCAGTTGCACATGGCGTAGCCACCATCACCAAAACAACACATAATCTCATTTGTACTCATGACGCTTGGGTTAAGGGCTGACTTGTCTGCATCTCTCTCTTCTATTTTTGTTAAGTAACCAATAAGTCACAAGGCAAAGAGCTTCCCTGCATGCAGACTGTTCAAACTCTCTTATAATTAAAAGAATAATTATAATTAAGTATAATTTTTAAAAAAACTATGGTGAATGTTTAAATATTGCAAATTGCAGTAAAAAAATCACATTGTCACTAATCAAAACTCATCAAAATACTCCTACTTGCTTCAAACACACATCCCTTCATTCTTGCCGCTTTCTGAAGCTGTTCCAGAATTCCTTTTCCATGACTGTCTGGAGTTACACCTTCCTGGCCCCTGGATATCCTGAAATCAAAATGTTTACCTTTCCTGGTTATTTTGACTTTGGGGAAGAGCCAGAAATCACATGATGCTATATATCCTGTGAATAAGGTTGAGGGGGACGCTATGTTTTCAGGAGCCTGCCTTCCAGTTGGATGGTACTTAGCCACAGCATTCATTCACAGTATTTTTGATCAAACCTCATAAAGACGTCCATGAAAAAGGAATTCCAGAACTACTTAAAGTGGCAAGAAAAATGGGCCAGTAGGTTCAAAGCAAGGGAGAGTATTTTGAGGGGGCGGGAGTGACAAAGTATCTTTTACTGTAATAATTTTGGTATATAAACATTCACTGTATGTCTTGATAGCCCCTTGTATATTTACTCTGTGGCTTTACTAATCCCTTAAATACAAGCCATTTTTCTCTTTGATAAATGAGGCAGCCTGAGTCAATACAGGAGATATTTAGAACAACTTTTTAAAAAATTATGTACTGCAAATGTACTAATAATAATTTTTTAAAAAGTGAAACCTATAAAATACTCGGTGAGATCTTTGTAAGCTGTCTTGATACTTTTAGCTTTTTTTCAAATGTTTATATTCATCCATTTGCTTTGGTTGCGAAGCCTCTTAGGAAAGTTCTTGTATGGTTTAGTAGGCCAAGATCTAGTATCTGTGACTTATGTGGGTGCTGGGTGGGTCACCTAGACTCTGTCTCAGCCTCCTCATGTGTTCCAGGAGATAACTATTAAGAATGGTAACTATAATACTATGTAATGGGGCCAAGGATTTAGCTCAGTGGTTCCACCGCCTGCCTCGCAAGCACAAGGACCTGAGTTCAATCCCGGATACCAAAACAAAGCAAAACAAAAAAAATTATATAAGGTGCTATGTAAGCTCAGTGCCAAGTGCCAAGTTTGAAGTTATTACCGGATTCCTGGCAACTCACATGCCATCTCTCAGCCTACTTACTCCATACAGAGGTCTCTCTTCTTGGCTTTCTCTTCTAAGTCAGTCAAGAACTTGCTCCTCACTACTGCGCTCTCTAACATGTAGTTAATTCACATTCATAGTTTTTCACTCTCTGAGTCAACAGGATGAGGCAAGGGAAAAGGAGGAAAAGGTCTGAGGATAGCATTGGTTTCCTTGGTGGGAAATCAAACCCTGTCTGGATCTGTCTTCTAGAGAACACATGCAACAGTAGGTTTTAAAGTTTTAAAAATGAAACAAGATTCTGTTATTTTTGCCCCTTTTGTCTTCTTCATTTTGAGCAAACACCATTTTGCCATCCCCCATCTGTGTGTTTTTTTCACCGCCTACATTTGATGCTTGGTAGATGCTCTCCCTGTGGTGTTAAAACTGACACACCGCACACCAGCCATGGTTAAGAGCATCAGGCCAAAATTCTGTACATGTGAGAAAATTCTTTCTCACAGTGTTATGCACCCATCTTCACTAGGCTGTCCACACCCTTATGACACTGCCACCACTTTCTACATTTAGATGCCCTGTGCCTGCCCTTCCCAGGAGGCCTGTAGCGGTGTGCACGCCTAGGCTGCTGACCATTGTCCCTGTTCTTTTTCACTAGGAAAAGAAACCAAAGGGAATTTCAGTCGAACAGTCACTACTGGTGGCTTTTTCATTCCAGCCACGAAATTGCACTCGACCAGCCCTGGCAGCTCCTGTGACCTCAGCAAGCAGGAGGTTGAATGGGGCCAGGAGGGAACTCCTTCAGGGGCCGAGGGGGGCTTTGATGTGACTGGTGACCGAAGCCAACTCCAGGGCTCTCAGGTCCGGGCCCCACCTGAGCAGCTGAAGGTGTTCCGACCTATAGAGGATCCTGAAACTGAGCAAGCAGCCCCAAAGATGCTGGGGATGTTCTACACCTCAAGCGACAGCCCCAGCAAATCCATCTTCACCAGCAGCCGCTTCCAAATGGAGCCCTCACCGCATCACCAGCGCAAGGTGCTCAATATCTCTGAGCCCTTTGCAGTGTCTGTGCCACTCCGAGTATCTGCAGTTATCAGCACCAACAGCACCCCATGCCGAACACCCCCCAAGGAGATGCAGTCCCTCTCCAGCCTGGAAGAGTTTTCCTTCCAGGGCTCAGAGAGTGGAAGCTGGCACGAAGAGGAGAAGCCACTGGGAGCTGAGACTTCTGCAGGTACAGTAGGAAATGAGGTTTTGTCCACTGCAGGAGCTAAAAACCAGGCTTGAACTTGCTTATAAATAGAGATTTCAAAACAGTGTGGTGAAGGGGTTAGGACTATGGACTCCACATCCAGGCTGAGTACAAATCCAGGCTCCGCTGTTTAGCTGTATGATCTTCAGCAAGTTAACATAACCACGCTGTGCCTCCGTTTCCTAAACTATAAAATGAAATGATGTTGTTCATAATCACACCTTTTCCATAAGTTTGCTATGATTATTAAGTTAGTCAATACACGTAATGCTCTCAAAAAAGTATATAGTATACAGCTAGAACTTAATAAATCTTATTTTATTTGCTCATAGAATGCAGTAGGAAAAGATTGTAGAATGGCATGTGGAGCTAAAGAGCTGGCAGTGAAGATTCAGCTCTTCCAGACTCACTGATTCTTCATGTATCCATCCCTTAGTTCTACCTCATACCCGCAGAAGAGTATGACTAGCAATCCTAGCAATGAGACAGAGCCTCTCTCTTCCACTTCCTATGTTATATGCAGGAAGGACTCTGATTGGCTGTGCTTGAGTCACCTGTCCAGCTTTGACCCAATCCCTGTTGCCCGGCCATACAGTGGAGAGATGGGCCAGGCCTGAGTCTGGGCTGTGCCTGGAGTAAGGACGCGCTCTTTGTTCACAACCCTACCTGAGCCGTCAAAAATAGAAATAGGGAAAACCCCCGAGGAAAGGCTGGCTGACAGTCAAATGAACACGTATCTTACTGTGAATCAGTACTCTTTCTAACTGATATTAGCTTACTTTTTGCAGTACCTTTGTATTTCAGTACCTCCAGTACTTTCGCATCTGGCATGTCCTAGGTGTTCTATTGGTATTGTCTTCTCCCAACAATCCCATAAAGGGGATTATCCCCACTCGCTTAGAGAGGAACATGTAATTTGCCCAAAAATTCATAGGAAGGAAGTGGTAAAAACAAGAATTTCAATGCAGATTTTTTTTGGGGGGGGTAGCAGGGATTGAACTTGGGTCCTTGCAATTGCAAGTCAGGTAGCAGAACCACTGAGCTAAATTCCCAGCCCTCAGTGCAGCTTTTTAAAAACAAATCTACACTTGTAAGCACTCTGTCATACTTCCTCGTGTGCTTACCAGGGGCAGTGGAGTTAGAAAACTTGCTGGGACGTGATCCCCTTTCTCAGGGAGCACAGAGCTCAGAAGGGAAACTGGAATTGCACTGATGGGCAGAGCCCAAGAGCCTCCTCCTGCTTTTTAGCTTGAGGGAGGACTTAGGTATCTGGAAAGTAATGAAAAGAATATTCAGAAAAGACTGAAGGAGGGAGAGGCAGTCCCCGCAGGAGAGTTTCAGAAAAAATGTACAAGAGGTGACATTCAGGCTGCATCTTCATATGGATAGGATTTTTCTGTACAGAGATAATAAGAAATGGCATTTTGAGCTACCAGGTACCTGAGCATTGCAGAAAGTGTATAGAGTTTGGACCTCAACTGGGTTAATTTGGATCCCAGCTTTACCATATTTTGGTAATGTGACAGTGGGTGATTGGTTGATAGCTCAGAGCCTTTCTTCCATCTACAGAGCAGAGGGGGCTCCTATCTCAAGGCCTAGGACAAGGTCTGAATGAGAGAAGGTACATAAAATACCCATCAGGCTCATTGAAGATGCTCGGGAAATATTAGCTGTTCCCCCCTTGCCTTTGCCTTCATGATGGGGCTGCAGATGGCCAACACTCAGGGACACTGAATGATGTCCTGTCTGGAAAATGGTCCTTGGACTGGGGTGGGTTGAGCCGGACAAGGGAAAGAGGAGGGACAGTGCCTCTGAGGAAAACAGTTTCCAAAGGCTTGGTCATTCTATCCAAAACTGAGGTTCTTGGGCCTCAAAGAATGTTTTGTTAGTCTCTCATTTCTCTTTCTCCCTGTAAATAAGAATATCAAGCCTATATTAAATTTAGTCACTCAGTGGTTCCGCTGCCTGCCTCACAATCGCAAGGACCCGAGTTCAATACCCAGTCTGGGAAAGACACTAACGGGGACACCAGGCTGCCTTCCTGTTGGTGGGGGCAGCCACACAGCCTGGGACCAGAGCCTGAAGGGAGATGTTGGAAAATGCTGGTCCCCTCAGCCTTCCCTCTGCTGGGTTTAGGCCAACTTACATTTCTTCTGTCCTTCCATCACTGTTCCAGATAGACAACTTCACTTTCATTAATAAAATAGCAGTAGGTAAAAGAAAAAACTTAAGACAGTTTTCCAGATTATCTAATTAAAATTTTAGTCACTATGATTAAGGAAATTCTCCTACAGTGGGCCAAAATAGGTGAAATTTCAGTGTGACCTGAAGAATAAGAGATATAAGTAATTTAATTTTAACTAAAGTGCTGGTAATTAGATTGATTGTTTTGAAATACAGGATTAATCAATGTTACAGTAGTAATTAATTATCTGATTTTTACCTGATTCAGGCTTCTGCCCTGCTAACCTCAGCTAGGAGATAAAAGCATCACAAATGGCTCCTTTTGCAAGAGAAGGGAGAGATGTGGGGCAGTTTAAAAGCTACAGGGACTGTGCATCCCCACCTGGAAATGATCATTAGTGGAACATCAGAGTAACCATATCGCTTTAAGGAAACCTGACAAATGAAAATCCACGATTTCCCTGGTAGATAATTGAGTTGTTTTATTCTTTCACTGAAGCTTTTACAATAGAGACTCTCTTTCACTCTCTCTCTCTCTCTCTCTCTCTCTCTCTCTCACACACACACACACACACATTACCAAGGTCTGTAGTATTTTACTATAGCAAACAAAAACAAATGCTTTCACAGTATTGTTTTCAGAGCCTTGTTCCATGTATGGCAAAGCAATTCAGAAGTAGAACATAACTTACAATAGGGTACTTTAAACAATGTATTTAACTGCAATGCCATACACTGCCTTCCACTTATTTTTGACACATCTTTTTCCCATAGTGATTTAGAGGGTCTGCAAGCCACCATAGGTATTTCATAAATCTTTGGCTATTTGGATATACACCTGCACAGATCCTTCACCTGTACCCAGCAGAGCTGTACTTGTCTGCCTTGGTCACAGTAGACTCAACAACTAGACTCCCAGCTGTGGGAAAAGAGGAGGAATCCATACAGCCTCCACTCATGGATATAACCAAGCAGTTGCACGCATCACTTCCACACCACCCCATGTGCTAATGCTTGTTTTACACAGATGCACCTGCCTTCAAAAGAGGCTGAGAAAAGATGTCACTAGCTGAAACTTGGGCAGTGAGGGAGGCTTCAGTTGTACACAAAGACACTGGATCCTGAGGGTCAGTCTGCGTCTCCCTGGTCACTCACTTCTCGCTGGGAACCCTTTCTGTGGTAGCTTAGAATTATCCACCACATCTGTCAATCGCCAGGAACAAACCCTCAGAGGGAACTGAGAACATGTGAAGAGAGGGTGGTGCCCTAGGCATGGTGCTGCCGCCGGGGAGAGGAAGGCTCCAAGAGGTGACATCAGATGTGTGCCTCGAATGGAACCCTTTCAGGTCACAGGGAGGACCAGAGCAGAGGAGCGCAAGGCCTCGTGGGCGTGTGGTAGGAGAAGAGTGGACATGAGGTCCGACCAGAGTGAAGAGCGCCTTGCACACCCTGATGGAGACATAGGGAGCATTGAGAGCTGGCTGCGAGAGAGTGAGCCCCTCCTCCTCACACCAGAGTCCATTTAAAAGGCCGCAGTCCATGAGCAGCAGACCTGAACTGCAGGTTACAAAAAGACACACTGGCAGCTTTGTCCAACCCATAGGCCTGAGCAGAATGCTAAAAACGTCTTTTAAAATTTACTGAAGTACTATCCTTTCACCCAGAAGTCTCACTTCCTCGAATTTGGCCTGAATCCACAGGTGCACGAGTCCAGAATGATGTACACACATGATGGTGTCGCTCACACTAGTAGCAAAAAAGTTGTGTGCAGAGCCTGCCCCACATTCCCTCCAACTCCTGTGCCCCTGGAGGGGACCATTTCTATGCTCACAGAGGGTATCTTCTCTCAAGCGTCTACATTGTTCTTATTTTCTGCCTCAGGCCTTTTCTTGAAAGCAGACTTTTACTCAGCCCTTGCTTGCGTTCCCTCAGAGTGTGGCAAATCAACTGGTCATTCTCAACCAACATAAGCCAGGAAGCAGTGGATAAATGAGCCGGTCTCACACTCTCCTGAGGGGTAGTTGTGGGGCCAGCCACATAGTTACCAAGGATAGAGTCACAGTGGCTCACAGGGGTGTCCAGCTCAACAACATACTTTGTATGACTTCCCTTCCACCCCGTCACTCCTCCTTCTGGGTACCTCCTTCAAACAAGCTGCCTGCTTCCTGGACCTTGTTTCAGGGTCTGCTTTGTGGGGAGCCCAAACCAGTCCACATCTTTTTTTGTTTGTTTGTTTTTTTGAGACAGGGTCTCACTATGTAGTTGAGACTGGCCTGGAACTGACAATGTAGCCCAGGCTGGTTTTGAACATACAGTGATCCTCCTGCTTCAGCCTCCCGAGTACTGGGATCATAGGCGTGTGCCACCACGCCTGGCCCAGTCCACATTTTAAACAGTAACCAGTCTCCCTCTAGACTAATATGGCATGGACTTCAAAATACATTCATCAAAAAAATGCAAAAACAAAGAATAGTATATATCATATGCTATATTTTGTGTAATAAGAGTAGGAAATAAAAATTATGCGTTATAAGTAGCTGTACATATGCAAAAATGAATGCCACTTAAAAAACAGAAACTAATAAAAGAAAGGACAATGGGGATTCAGAACAGGATGGAAGAAACAAGCATGGAAGAAAACTTCTTAAAGGATGCCTTTTTATATAGTTTTAACTTTTGAACACTGTGTTTTACACATTTGGAGATTGAATTAGCCAGGCATGGTGTAATCTTAGCTACTTGGGAGGCTGAGGCAGGAGGATCACAGGTTCAAGGCCAGTATGGACAATATAATGAGGCCCTGTGTTGATATAAAAAAATAAAAAGGTAAGGGACATAACTTAGTGGGTAGAGTGCTTGTCTAACATGTGTGAGGCCCTGCTTTTGCTCCTCAGTACCACAAATAAAATTTTAAAAATAAAAAACTTACTAAGTAATGGGTCAAAGAAAGTGGTACTACAGTTAATTCCAAAGCACTGTCAGTTCAAACATCAAGATGCTATCACTAGGGCTGACCGAGCTGCCGGGCTGGCATCACGGTGAACACCCAGGAGCTAAGTTGCCAGGTTAACTAATGGCAATTGACAGAGTTTGTTCTTAGGCTGTGAGCGTTTCTGAGCTTTCGTGGTATATCAGACCTCAAGCCGTGTGTTTCACTTCTGTTATCTGCTTTATCCTCACCTGGCCCTGCAAAGAGTGTTCTCACGATGCCCCTGTCCTAAGATGAAAAGATTCATCGAGAAACTAGAATTTGAAAGGAAGCTCATTTAATCCTGTGAATCATGACATTTGTTGAGGGCCTGCTGTGCGTTGAGCATTGTTTGGGCATTTTGCTCCGTCTTTATTCCACAGCCTTTTCTCAGCCAGGCGGAAGTGGCCCGGTTTGAGGTCAGCCTGCTTTCTCCTGTTTCAGGAGGCAGGTATTTAAGACAGGAGCTTGACCACTTCTGCTGTGCCCGAACTGACTGTTAATGACCCTGAGAAGCTGTCAACCATAAGATCTCCTTGCTACCTGGTACAAACAACAGATTTTTGTGGTCTTGGGCACCAAGCATGACTGCTCAGGGCCTGAATATTTATTAGTGAAGTGAAAGACTAGGAAGGGGCAGGATTTCTTAGCTTTGACACTGTTGACATTTTTGGGCTGGGTAACTTTTGCTGGCAGTGGGAGTGGGGTGTCATTGGAAGATACTTAGCAGCATCCTTGGCTTCTAAGCTATAGATGCCAGTAGTGGCACTCACCTCCCCCTACACTGTGACAACCAAAATACCACCAGATACGGTCTGAGTCCCCTGGAGGGGAGGTAGTAGGAAAATGCTCCTGGTTGAGAACAACTAGACTAGGACGATCCCTTCTCTGATAGTCTGTGACTTTGTGACCTGAGGCCAAGACATAGGAAGAGGGTAAAGAACATAAGGGACAATGTCTTGGGAGAATTCCCTGTCCTTGTGAGGCAGGGCACGGAGGCAGGATGGTGACTGTTCTAGGAACAACCTGTCTGGAAGTGAAGTCTTTGGACTTGAACTGATCATTCCCATCCTCATTCCAGCTTCTGGTGCCAAGAATGCTGCTCTCGAGGATGCCTTACCGAAACCTGAAGGCCAGGGGATGGTGGGATGCAACCAAGGCCTGCAGCCGCAGACCCAACTGGAGGAGAAGACAACCTCAGAACCTTCCTTGGTCTCTCAACATTCAAGGGGATCAGAGACAAGACCAAAACCAGAGAAAATGGAGGAGGAAGACCGAGAGACCAACCTGGTAGAGGCCACTGCTCCTCCGAAGAGCCCTGGGGCCAGAGCCAAAGCTGTGTTTCTCCATGAGATGGTAAGGTGCACTCCCTGTCTGCTCCATCCATGTGCAGACTTCTTTTTCCTGGGGGATCTTGGTCCAACTTAAAGTAGATTTAAAAGAATTGGTTTCTGCCATAGGGATTTTAAGAGACTCACTTCTCTGGCAAGCACAAGTCCCTGGGTACGAGAGAGAGAGAGAGAGAGAGAGAGGAACTTAGTAATAATCAGAAGTAGAATTTCTTTCTTTTTTTTTTTTTCTGCAGTGGACTTTTCAAGAGTCCAGTGATAGAAAGTCACCATTGAGCTCAGATCCTCAAGGACAGATTCAACTCCGTGTCTGACCTAGAGCCACCATAAGCCAGTGATGTCCTTGGGATGTAATGATAGTCAAAGCTATAGTCACACAAAACTTGCTTGTTGTAGCCCAGGCCTAATACGATAACCATTCATAAGATCCTGCCCTCTTCTTCCAGACATCCTGGATGAGTGGTTGTTTAGGCTTCTTTCTAAAGTCTGGAGACATTCAAAGACCATACCAGAGCTGATGGAACTTTGTCCTCTTTAGAGCTGGAATTTTCCAAGAAGGACTTTATGAGCTGTTCTTACATACAAAGGTGTGGGGAGGTTTCCTGAGGACACACAGGGAGGAGTCTGACATTTGGAAGGTGGCACTGTAAACAAAAGTATGCCAAAAAGGAAAGGGAAGCTCATTGCCTTTTAATTTACCTCTAGGATGTGTGCGACAGAAGTACATGCTGGGAGTCAGGAAAGACCTGGGGTGCCATGGTGGCTAGGGGACTATAGGGGGGGTCCCTATAAGACATGGTTACATTTGTAGATAGGGAAGGATGGAGAGATTTTTATGGGGATTGCACTCTTATGGGGAGGACCCAAATATGAATGGCATTGCTCTGAGAAGCAGATGAAGTTAGTGCTGGAAGAATCAAGCTATATTTGGAGGATAAGTAAAGGTATTCCTTCCATCATTTAAAGCATGTGACAACCAAGATGGATTATGTAAAGGTACGACTTGCCAACAATGACTGTCATTATATTGTACAAATTAAATGTACCGACAAAATTAAAAATAAAAGCACATGGTAAGCGAGGTGTGGTAGCATACACCTGTAGTTCCAGCACTTAGGAGGCTGAAACAGAAGGATTGCAAGTTCAAGGCCAGCCTGGGCTATATAACAAGACCCTGTTTCAATATAACAAACAACAACAACCAAATGGGCCAGGGATTTAGCTCAGTGGTTCCGCCGCCTGCCTTGCAAGCATAAGGACCTGAGTTTGATCCCCAGCCAAAAAAAAAAAACAAAACAAAACAAAAACCAGTAACAATTGATATCAGCTGGGCGTGGTGGCGCATGCCTGTAATCCCAGCACTTGGGAGGCTGAGGCAAGAGGATCGTTGTGAGTTTGAGACCAGCCTGGGCTACATAGTGAGTTCCAGGTCAGTCTCAACTACAGGGTGAGACCCTGTCTCAAACAAAAAAAAAAACCAAATGTGTCAAATACCTACTTAGTGCCGATCTGTTGAGAACTAGGATCCATACAATGGATAAGATTGTTGCCATCCCTACTTGTCTGGAACTGACAGCCTAGTAGGCCACTGAACAAGTAAATTTCCAGGGTGAAATGGAAGTGTGGAATGTGGAAAGCATATGTTTACAGGAAGACCCAACAATCAGAGGGAGGAGGAGTGTCACAAAGGTCAGGATGGTTAATCTGGACTGACAACTTGATTATTAAAGCACACTTCTGAGTATACTGGGTGGTCCCAGCGGTGTGACCTTGGGAACTACATCTGGTCCCTGGCCCCTTTCTTCTGAATCGTCCTTGCTCTTTGCTTCCTGGCTGGCATGAGGTAAACAGCTGCCCTACCAGCCAGACAACTATGGACTAAAGACTGAAATCTCTGAGCCAGAAGCCAAATTAAACCTCTCCTCTCAGTTGTGCATGTCAGGTATTTAGTTCCAACAACAAGAAGTTCACTAAACCAGAGGGCATCTCTGAGGAATAGATGCTTAGCTTGATAAATTGCTAAAAAAAAAAAAGGATTGAGGGTATCTTTCCAGGCAGAAAGAACAAAATGTGCCATGAGTCTGAAGTGGGAAATAACCTGAACTATTCATGGAATGGGAATAAAGCCAGGAGAGCTAGCTGGAGAAAGTGAAGCTCCAGTAGTAGGAGGAATCACATCAGGCAGGAATGCATGGAAAGGTCTGGGTTTTGTCCTTAAAGGATCACTCTCATCTGTGAGGAAAACATCTTGTGAAAGGACAAGAGAGAGGGCAGGGATGCCAGTTAGGGGGCTGCTGTGTGGCAAACAAAGTGACAAAAGACGGTGGCTTAGGCTAGGGCAAGAGCCACTGGGGAAGTGGAAGGGTTCAACAGCATTTAGGAGGTAGAATGAAGAGGATTTGGTGGAGGATCGAAGAAGAAGAAGCAAGGATGAAGGGACAAAGACAAATTCTAGCTTTCTGGTCTGGCCAAATTTCCACTATGATCCAAATGCCGAGATATCAGACAGCGGAATGGAAGGGAGTTCGGAGGTCATTTGCTCGTTTAAATCCATTGATTTCTTAATTAATTAAGGATTAATTCATGAAGATGCTGAAGAAAGGAAAGAAACAAGAAAAACATCTTGCCAAATCTAGTAGGCAAAATAGAACTGTACACAAATAAGTGTACTACAATAGAATCAGAATGTTTGACTGAATAATCCAGGAGAGTTATCTGAAAGAAGTAACTTTCATAAAAATATACTCATTCCATACTCTTTACTGAGCAGCTAGTCACAGTCTACCAGGCCCCACTTGGCCTTGAGGAATCAATCAACACAGCTGCTGACCTCCAAGAGCCTGTAGTCCACTGGGAATAGGACAAGCATGAAAGTTACTGGAATGTGAGACAGCATGAGATTACAGTCAGGTGCAAAGTGATGAGAAGCCGGCAGCAGATCAGAAGTCTCAGAGGGCCTGGATCACCACAGGGTGGAGATGTTCCCCTGGGTCACTTCCCCCATGGGACGGAATTAGGCCTCCAGGCATGGAGTGCAAGAAACCATTTGTTTTCCTGGCCAGGCCTCCTTTCATCTTTTTTCTCTAACTCCAACCTTTGTGGAGGGGCAAAGGGAGGCGTTAAGAAGGACAAAGGAAAGTTGGACGTAAGGGGAGACAGAGACAGTAAACAAGCTGAAGCAGGAGATAGTTCAACCACCACAGAAAGAGCCCTGCACACACTCCAGTCACATTAACAGTGGGTATCCCTGGGTAGTGAGACAGCAGGATTTTTCTGGGTTTGTAAATGTTTTTATTCTAATATGTATTTGAAAGTTCCCCATATCGTGTTAGTCAGCTTTTCATCACTGTGACCAAATACCTGAGAGAAACAAAGGAGCAAAGATTAATTTTAACTCCCAGTTTCAGAGGCTTCATTCAGTCCATCGTCATTTGGCTTCATTATTCTTAGGCCTGTGGTAAGACAGAAACATCATGGCAGAAGACTAAGGTAGAGCAGAGCTGCTCACCTCACAGCATCCAGAAAGCAGAGAATGAAAGAAAGAACCAGAGAGGAAGGGACCAGGGGCAAGATATGGTCCACAAGGTCACATTCCCATGACACACTCCCTTCATCTAGGGCCACACCCTGTCTTCATCACCTCCTAGTAAAGCTATCAACTATAAACCCATCAATAGATTGACCTACACATGAAGTTAGAGCCCTCGTGATCCAATCACTTCCAAAAGCACATCCTCTGAACACATGAGCTTTTCAGGGGACATTTTACATCCCAACCATTAACACACGTAGAATCTGCATTTCTTTAGTAATAAGCAAAAGAACTCAGTTTATTTACTTGGAAAGCAGGAGTTAGGGTAAGAGTTAACACTTTTGTTCCACTAGAACTTCATTCTTGTGTGCTTTCTAGTAAACCTGGCGTTAAATGAAATCGGGTTTTGTTTCTCCTGTAAGGCAGCATTGTACAGAAATAAAATGTTTGTGTTTGGTGTATATAGGGCTGGATTTCAATCCTGATTTCCTGCTCCATGATTTAGATAAATTGTTAGCTTCTCTGAAACTAGGCCTTCTAATCTATACAATGAGAGTAGCGCTCATCTCCTAGGGTGTTGGAAAAATTAATCAAGATGCAAAGAATTTTATGGCACCTGGTGAGCACTCACCTCTACCGGTGTTACTGATGCTGCATTCTTTCTTTAGTGGTCCCTTCACTCTCCCTGGAAACAGGGCAAATGTCAGTGTCTACAGTCCTTGGTTCTAAGGTAATCAATTTCATAATGTTTTTCAGGATGATGATGATCTGACCAACCCCCTTCTGTGGCCCGAGATTCAACAGGAACTAAAAATCATTGAATCTGAAGAAGAGCTCTCCTTGTCACAACCCCCTGCTCAGAAGATCAGCCCAGTTCAACTAGTTCTTGAGCCAAGCCCAGCGTCCTTTTCTTTCCCAGAGGTTCCCGGGAATTTGTCTTGTGGCTCCACCCCCACTCCAGTGTCCACCCCTCTGGAAGCAGGGACTAGGGAATTAACCAATCATGATACAAAGAAGGCAGCCACGGGAGCCAATAGGGAAAAGCTGGAGCCAACCGGCAGCCCCCATGAATACAAGCACAAGCAGGGCCTGCAACCAGACCAAGCCAGTCTGGTTCCTCTGGATATAGCTCCCTTTGAGAAGGTGACTTCACAGGATAGAACAGAGGTAGGAGGCCCAGGGAATCTCTCACCTCTGCCCCTGCCTGCTCCTCCTCTTCCAACTCCTCTAGAGGAGTCATCTCAAATCCTGCAGTCAAAGGGCAACCCTGAGAGAGAAGATCCCAGCAGGAATTTGATGACAGGTCTCTCGATAGAGCAGCCGAAGTCCACAGACAGCCCTGGGGTCTCCAGCACCTATCGGGGAGACGAGGCAGCTCTGAAGCAAAGTGAAGAGCAAGATTCAAAGAATGCTGCTCCTGAGGAAAAAGGCCCTGATGTCTCAAGTCCAACAAAGGATGAGCTCTCGCCACTGGGAGAGGGATATGGATCCCATTCAGTACAAGAGCCTTCAGACTGTGATGAAGATGACACTGTGACAGATGTTGCTCATCATGGCCTGGAGATGGTGGAGCCCTGGGAGGAGCCCCAGTGGGTAACGAGTCCCCTTCACTCTCCCACCCTGAAGGAAGTGCAGGAGTCCCGGGTGCAGACTCCTCAGAGCTACCGCCTGGAACGGAGGCTGACTAGACCCAGCCTTCGACAGAGCCACTCTCTGGACAGCAAAAGCACCATTCCAACTTGTCAGTGGCCTCTCTATGCTCCATCCTCAAGCAGCTGTGCTAATCTTGAAACGGAGAAGAATCCTGACTTTCTGCAGCCCCTGGCAGCCAGGAGAGAGAAGACTGGATGGGATGAGAAAGCCCTGAGACCCTTCAGAGATTTCTCCAGCCTGCAGGGGGCAGAGGTTCTTTCCAGCCAGAAAGGACCAACTGGTTTGCATCCCAAACCAGCAGAAGCCAGCCCTGTCCACCTGGCAGAGAGAAAGGAGAGGGGGCCTCACTCGGGGCACAGCAACCTGCAGATTAAACAAGGTGATGTTCCGGGGTTAGAGAGCAGCAAGGAGAGTTTCCCCACTGTTCAAAGCAGCACCTCGCCTGCAGAGAGTCCCCCACAGTTACAGCAGAAGAGTCCTGAGTGTGGGCCCTCAAAGGGGAAAAATAGGCCTTCTTCCCTCAACTTGGACTCTGCCATTCCCATTGCTGATCTCTTTCGGCTTGGGAATGGGGCCTCATTTAGTTCACCTGGAGTGCAGCTCTCTGAGCCAGAAGACCCCAAGGTCACCTGGATGACCTCAGCTCACTGTAAAGCAGACGCCTGGAGGGTTTGCTGCCCGGACACCCAGGACCTGGATATTATTGCTCATGCCATGATAGGTCGCCGCCGTAACTCTGCTCCGGTGAGTGTGTCAGCTGTGAGAACCTCCTTCATGGTCAAAATGTGTCAGGCCAAGGCAGTCCCTGTCATCACTCCCAAGATCCAGTACACGCAGATCCCACAGCCCCTACCCTCACAGAGCTCAGAGGAGAGCGGGGCTCAGCCTTTGGAGGGCAGCCAAGTACCCAGCTCCACAAGTGGGGCCTCTCAGAAACCTGCCAAAGATGGGTCTCCCTCTCCCCTAGAAAGTCCCGGGGAAGAGAAAGCAGAGCAAGACACAGAAGCCATTCACTCTTCGCAGTTGGACCTCACTGCATCCTGCATTTGTGAGGGACCCATCCTCTCTCCAGGAATGGGCTTGCCTAACCTGGTCTCTGCCCAGGATGCAGCAGTGCATTGCAGGAAGCGTACTTCAGAGACAGAGCCATCTGGGGACAACCTGTTTTCTTCAAAAATGGAGCGTCCATCTGAAGGTGCAAAGCTTTTCCACAGGTCAAGGCCAGGAAGACCTCAGAGCCTAATCTTATTCAGTCCTCCTTTCCCCATCATGGACCACCTGCCCCCTTCATCCACAGTGACAGATTCCCAGGTCCTGCTGTCCCCTATCAGAAATCCCACCCAGACAGTTTCCCCTGGCCTTCTCTGTGGGGAGTTGGCAGAAAACACGTGGGTCACCCCAGAAGGGGTTACACTTAGGAATAAAATGACCATCCCTAAGAATGGCCAAAGACTAGAGACCTCAACCAGCTGTTTTTACCAGCCTCAGCGGAGATCAGTGATTCTGGATGGAAGAAGTGGGAGGCAGATAGAATGATATCCGTTCACCTGCTGGTGTCTGAAAAGCTATCGTGACTCACCTGGACTTCATCACAGGACCAACTTGCCCCTTTCCTGGCACAGGTTGTCTAAATGTGGACTGATTTTGGCCTCTGACTTCTTCCTATTCAGCCTTTTGACCATTCATTAATACTGCCAGGAGAGTAGCCGAGGAGACCAAAAGGTGACATCGAGAGAAGTCTGTAGGGTTAGGGAAGGGAGGGAACTGGAGTACAAGGAGAGGGTAGTGAAGGGAAGGGAACAGAGTGCGTGCCTCCAGAGAAGTCCGGGGTTTGTGAGTTGCATTGTTCCCCTGTCATCAGCAGCGGTCGCTGTTGAGAGCTGGCTGGGATAGTGTCCTTTGAAAGAAAAAAATCCTTTGCCCGGGTCTAAAAATGTTATTGAAATTTGAAAGCTTCCTCTTTACTTCATGCTTTGTAACACTCCTCAATGCATTTGTTCTTTTAAATCGACCTTTAATAAGCTTTTGTAGATGTGTACTATCCAAAATAGAAGCAAATTTGGAAATGCAAGTGAATGTGCACTTAGATTTCCAAGGGGGTGAGCTTACCCAGGTTCTTTCCCCAGAGTCCCTGCAGACCTGCCTGACATGACTGAGTAGTAGAATATAAAATCAGAGTCTAGACTCAAGAGCAAGCCCTGAGACTGGCACATCCATGAAGACTTTCTCGCTCTGACTTTCATTAACTTGAGACTCCATCTGCCACTGTGCCGAACTCTGATTTATAAATCCAGGATCTGGGCAGAGCAGGGACTAAGCGGAGGACTGTCTTACTGCAAAGTTTTGACTCTTCCTGTGGGTATGTAGTAGAAGGTGAGGTATTAGCTTTCTTAAGATCAGCGTCCAGGCCCCAAATACCCGCAGAGAAAAGCCTAACACACAGGCATAAGTACGCTGCATACTGACTATGTTAAATCGTCGGGATATTCCAGAACACAGCTCTAGTTCAGCGTCATTCCTCTTCCCCATTGGGTACAGCAGTACAGAAGGGAGGCAAGGAGGAGCCCCAGCAGAGCGGTCAACCACTGCCCCTCTCTGGGAGCTAGCTGCCCTTGGTGAAAACTGCGCACTTCATCTTAGCCAGTGGGTTCCTTCCTTCTCAGGGGCAAATTTAAAGCTCCTCTCGCCCTTCTGCAATTTCCCTTGTCCACCACCCACCCCAGGCACTCAAACTTGCTCTTCTCCTCTGTCTGGATACAAGCAGAAGCAACAAACCAATCTGATTTCTTCCAGTTATTTAGACTTTCCAGTTGTTCTCTCCTTATTGGGTAGAGACAGAAGGATTACATACCTGGTGGCAGCTTTTTGGTGCTCTCCCCCCAGAAAACCTTCACAGGGCAAATCTCAGGTCCAAGCCTGGCTGAATTCTGTTCAGAAGTCCAGTTGTTGCAGGTATCTCTAAGCACTAGCAGCACCTAAAGCCAGCCTGACAACCGAGGCCATGCAGGGCTGGGCAGGCACTCGGCTGGAGTCCTCTCCTCCAGTGAGAAATTGGAGGCTCATGCTCTGCCACAGATCTCTTTCTGTCCCTTCCACTCTTCTTCCCCCCACCCGCCTTCTCTCTGTCCTGCCTCTCCTTGCCCTCTCTTCCCTTCTCTGATGATAAAACGCCTTGCAGTCTTGAAATCTTTTCCCCTCTTTCCACGTCTGTGGCGAGGGTAGCTGGCAAGCCCACTGATGAGTTGGGCCTCTGGAGGGCACTGCGTTGCCTGATCACAGGGAGCAGGTACAGACGTCTGGTGAGTGTTTCTGCTTTCTCAATGGGCAAACAAGACATTGGGGCAACAGCCAAAAGGGGTCAGCCCATAAGAAGACCCCCTAGTACATAACATTTTTCCTAGGCAAGCCAGGTAAAGGAGACGGGTGAGCGAGAAGGGCCTTGATCAGAGATTTGCAAAGCACATTCCTGCATTATCAGAAAATGTAGCAGATAAGTTTTATGTCAGTCTCAGCATACTTGTGGCGTCTATGCTTAGATAAGGACCATGTTCATTGTAATGTGAGAGATGGAAAGAACTGCACTTTGCCAACCATCAGGACTCTGAGCCAAGTAATGGAATATTTTTTAAAAACTACTCTATGAATATTTTTAATTTTTGTTTGTAATACTTGTATATTTTTATCTGGGGATAGACTGAGAAGCCACCCTTAACAGACTAACTAGTGAGGAGCTGGACATGGCGACACAAGCCTGTAACCCCAGCACTCAGGAGACTGAGGCAGGAGAACGGCCATGAGTTTGAGGCCAGCCTGGGCCGGTGAGTTCAAGACCATCCCAAACTACACAGGGAGAGGAGCCTCTGTCCCCAAAACAACAAAAAACCATACTAACAAGTGAGTTCAGTTCTAAGGGTTGCCATGCCTATGTGGATCTGTAAGATGGCAGCCATGTTTCTGTAGACTCATACCTCCCTTTTGTGGCATCCCCTTCTGGTGCAAAGGTATGTGATGTCGTCATGTGGCCCAGTGACAGCTGTCTGGAGACAGTCCCTATACCAGGCTTTCCAGGCCTCAACTCTGGAGGCTCCTTCTCCATGTCTTGCTGCTCAAGTGTGGACCCCTCCTCTGATGATGTCACAGCCTGTCAACTGTCACTCACTGTCACAAACTTCTTGGGGAGTGGGCTAGGCTGGAGCTCATGAAATTCCATTCCATGGCAAAGGAAACTCGTATTTGTCTCCTAAATCATTCCCCTACATGCCTTGGGATTACCTGTTTGACCACCCACTTGGGACTCTGAGAAATGAGCCCCCGAGAAGGGCTAGACAGGAATCAGATTGCTTGTTCCTCTCAAGGGCCATTGGTTTCAGGAGGATCTGCCTACCTACCAAGGGCTGTGGAATCTATCTGGCCAACTATGGCTCCTCAGAATGGGGACGGCTACCTTTAAATGTTGAAGTGAAATGTGTACACAGGCTGTTTTCTTTCAGTATTTATGGTTAAGAAAATACTAACCCGTATTTATTTGTAAAATGGCCCGCCCAGGCCAATTTTTTTCTTGTCAAATAGACAAATAGAGGCTTCTTGGGTTTTCCTCTGCTTCACTTGGAATATGGAGACCTGACCAAGAACCTTATTGAGACACTGTCAGCCTAATATTAGCCCTAAAATTTGAAAGAATGGCCAAGTCAAAATTCAATTCTGCAATCTAGGGACATTAAAAATGTAAAAATCATCATCATCAAATATGTATCAAAAGGCCTAGTATTGATGTCCTGGGTACCTTAGTACTTCTAAATTTTCTAAGCCTAATGAAAAAGGGAAAGGCATAAGAACAAGAGAGATAGCCCATAAACAACTAGGAGGAAGGCTGAGAACCATTAATTACAAAACAAAAGTAGTAACTGGCATCTTTTTTGTTGTTGCTGTGGCTAAACTGCCCATCTGGGCTTGAACTTGCAGTCCTCCTGCCTCAGGCTCCAAGGTGCTGGGATTATAAACTTACACCACCACACTAGGTCCTAGCCCCCTTCAAAAGGATATTATTCAAGTGACCTACTGCTTTTAAGTAATCAAATTAATCATAACTTCAAGTCCAACTGCATTCCAGTGGACACTCAGGTGCTGAGAAGTTCAGTTTGATTTAAAAAACCAGAGTGACAAGCAACTGAGACCAAGTAATTCCAAGGTTTTATGCAGAGCAAATTGGTTTGATTGTGAAGTTGTCTCGGATCTCTGCCCAAGAGCCAGGTGGGATCGGCATTCTACACTCTGAGAGGACTTTGAGAGACTTTTGTCATCATGGTGTGAGTGCCTCTCCAGCAGCTGATGAAGTGTCAGCCCCGAGTGTTTAGCCCAGGATAATCACACTGACTGCACCTGGGGGGAATAGTCATTTGTCTGCTGGCCTCATGTTCCCAGTCGAAGCACTCACGGCAGACAGAAGACTCCGTCTGGGACTGGCATGGCAGGTTGCTGTAGGTCTGACTCCCACCAGGATGCATGGGGCCCACGGTCCATCACTGCCGGTCCTGACTGACCACAGCATGGGCCTTGGAGTTGAAGGGCTGCCAGAAGTTATGAATTTAGGTACTTCTGTGGGAAGTTTCCTTTGGCAATACTTCCTGTCGCCAGAAGAGGGCAATTATCTTCAAGGCAGGGAGAGGAAGGGAAGATGCTAGAGGGGTGACAGCCTGAGGTCAGTGCCAGTCCGGATCACATAAAACTGGGGGCCATACAGTGGATCACTTAGCGACCCTGAGGTACATGAGTAATGCAGGGACTTCTCTGAGGGTCCGGGGAGTGGAGTTAACTATAAGAAGCCCATGAATCCATGGCCGTGTGTTTTACTGGATGAATCACAATGCTCTGCATTAACTTAATGCTGTTGTATTTTTTGGCTTACAATTCTGCAAAGTAAAGCACTTTTCTCAAAAGAGTCTATTAGAAAGCCACATGGTTGCCACAAATATTTCCAAAGATATAATCAAAATGTTTTTCTATTCATTAAAAAGTATAAATATTAAACCTATCCATAAAAACATTTACATGTAATTAAAAGACTGTTATGCTTTAAAAACGTACTCTAATAAATGATATGAAATACAATGCTTACGGTGGATCTCAGTACCTCAGGACACAGGGCCACCAAGATCAGAAACCTAGTAAATTATGTGCTTCATACTCGTTTACTTCGCTCTGTTTGATGTCATTTTTTGGTTGTTATTTCAAATCTGATCTGGTAAACGTTCTGGTGATTTGTCTCAGTAAATTTTCTTCTTGTTATTTTACATCTTAGTCATTGTGAGATATTTACACCCCCACCACCTTACTGTGCAACAGTCATGTCGGCCAAGACACCCAGCGGAAGTGGGTGATACTGGAATAGAAAATGGAAGAAAAAAGCTACTGCTTCCAAAAACTCCACAATTAAGGCATCACAAAGTCCACTGCGTAGGTGAAACTCAGTTTTCTTAGTGGTGAAGTCCATGGCAAACTGTGATTATGTTAACAGTGCTGGGGTTGGGGCAGGGGACACACATTTGTCATTCCAGCGTCTGTTTTTTAAAAGTGGAATTCAGGGTGCAGGAAGAGTAATCATACAACCTGGTTTCTAAACTGAAAATTGTTGCCACTTCTTGAATTTCAAGAAAACTCTTGCCAGACTGGTGGCACACGCCTATAATCCCAGCACCAGGGAGGCAGGAGGATCACTGAGCGTTAGAGGCCATCCTGGGCTATGTGGTAATTCAAGCCAGCATGAACTACATAGTGAGACCCTGTCTCAAAAACAAAACAAAACTTGTGAAGACCTTTCTTTTCCTGCACAAAAAGGCCGCATTCTTTCACATGACACACTTTTACAAAGGTTTGGAAGGTAATCTCCCAGTTTTTCACTTTGGCTTCTGCGCATTGCTTTTCCCCATTTCATTTTTTAAAAAAACTTATCAAAATGTATGGGTCCAGCTATTTTAACTTCTATCCATTTTTTGTGACCATAATGTAGTTAATACCTTATTTTTTTGAGACCAAGTCTTCCTATGTAGCCCAGGCTGGGTTTAAACTCACTGTGATCCTCCTGCCTAAGCCTCCTGAGTGCTGTCACATGCCCAACTGATCCCCTAGTCTTTGGTACCAGGCTGCCTGTTTCCCTCTCCCTTGTACCTCACCATCATTCCAAATGACTCATTCTCAAGGAAAACCCACCCCACAATCTCACCATAATTGTTTACAGCATTTTACCTCTACTAAATTTTTGTTTATATTTCCTTTTTTGTGGATTAAATACAGGGCCTTCATCCTAAGCTACATCCCCAGCCTTTTTTATTTTTTACTTGGAGACAGGGTCTTACTTAAGTCACTAAACTGGCCAAGCTGGGCTTGAACTTAGTATCTTTCTGTCAAGGCCTCCCAGACGGCTGGGACTAGAGGCATGCACCTCACCTGGCACCTCTACTCAGTTTTCCCCATTTGCTTCTAGAGTTATACATCAGGCTCTTTGTATCCAGAACTTTTTGATGCTAAGTTCCAATTCTCCTTTCTCAAAACCTTGTATTCTTGCTACTTTAATCCATTTATGCAAGACTACCGATGCCTGATCCATCCCTCCTGATAGGTAGCACATCAGATTTCATCCTTCCTTCATCTTCGCAGATGCCAAAGTGCATCACCTCAACTATTCCCTTAAGCCACACCTGCTGGCAAACCTCGCATCTAGCGCCAGCCCTCTCAGCTCCCATCCTCCCTGCTTTCTACTGTGTTAGAGCAGAGAAAATCATAATACCATGGTAGAGGGCCTTTCGATGTTTATGGCTCACCAACTCAGAAGTGGCTTCATTCCAAAACTCCCAATGGCTGTTCTACTCTTCTGAACCCCTTCTGGACAGAATTCCTCCCTAAGGATAATTGGTTCTTGCTTCACAAGTTTTTATTGTTAGTTATCTTTCTTCGTCTCCCACTGCCACTTCCCCTTAGCCTCCTTTCTAAACAGGAAGTATTGTCCCTTCCCAAGACACTTTCCATTACTCTTCCCCGCCCATCATTCCCTTCTCTATATTCAGCCTTTCCTTCTCTGGTCTTGTATCCCTCTGCAGAAATACGCCCAAGTCTCTTCTGTCTTAAGAAAGGTCTCCTCAAGTCCACACCATTACCACCTTGCTGTGTCCAGACTGTTGGAAGAATCACAGGTGTGGTGTCTTCATTCCAACTCACTCTTTCGGACCCGCTTCCACCTGACCCTGTCGCAGCCTGTCAGCGGTCACACACTTTATCCATACACTTCCTGAGGGATGGGCTAGCCTGGCACTGATGAAATTCCATTCCATGGCAAAGGAAACCTTCTCTGGCTAAACTCGCCCAGGATCTGATACCTATATCCAATAGTCACTTCTCAGTCTCTTGACTTCCCTAATACATGCAATAATGTTGAGCATTCCTTTTTTGAAGCTCTAATTTGCCTTTCTTGGCCGTCTGCTTTCTTAGTCTTGTTCACTTGAAAGTGTCTCTCCTTTATCTTTCCATTCTGCTCTTGGCCAGAATTCTGTCCCTCCTTTTCACTCCACATCCTTTCCCTAGAGGAGGGCTGTCCAGCCTTCTGGCTTGCCTTGGCCATACCAAGTGAAAAGAAATTGTCTTGGGCTACACACAAAATTTATAATTAATATACACAAAGTAACACAATTTCCTTTATATACATTATTTTGTGAAATAGTAAGCCTGAGTTTAATAATAAGGAAACTTACTTCTCTTACAGGCTGAAATACTATCAGTAGTGACACCTGCATTTTACTTGCCAACTCGCACGAGCACATACAGCATCTGATAACGTGGGTTTCAACTGGACTGTGTGGTGTGGGAGGTGGAGTTAGCACTGTGCTGTCCTCCCCTACGTAGCATTCCACTGTTGTTGCCCAGTCTGCAATGGAGCACCATGCAATCAAATCTCAGAAGCACTGCTCAAAGTCACACACTAACCCTATGCTCTGTTGTGATCTTGTGGGTCCTGGGTCCTCATTATAGCTATCCAGGGATGCATGCAGCCCTGGCCGCAGGTTGGACACCCCTGCTGGACTCTCATTTAGCCCCACAGCTGCCTCCACCATCCATACACCGATGATCCATCCCTGCCCATCTTCTCTTGCCTGGACTTTTAAATGTTCAACTGGTCTCCCGACTTTATGTCTCAGTGACATTTCCCAGCCTCCAAATCGGTCCTACACATTGCTGCCAATGTCATCTAAGGATAATGGATTTCAGACTCCAGATTTCTCAGAATCACCTGTGGAGGTTGTTAAAAGGAATGCTGGGCTACATCTGGAGTTTTTGATTCAGAAGGTTTGGGGTAGGGCTTAAAAATTTCCATTTCTATCAAGTTCCCAGTTAGGTAATGCTGATAACACTGGTGTGGGGCTGACATTTTGATAATTCTTTATCTGAGGACACTGTGATCATAAAATCTTCCATTAGATGTTTTTTTTGTTTGTTTGTTTTCTTTTTGAGACAGTGTCTTTGCTATGTAGTACAGAATGGCCCTGAACTATGCAGCCCAGGCTAGTCTCGAACTCACAGCAATCCTCCTGCCTCAGCCTTCTGAGTGCTGGGATTACAGGTGTGCACCACCACACCAGGTCCACTAGGGAGTGGTGCTCCCTGCCTTCTCTGTATCACCACTGTATCTCTACAAACTCATATTACTGAACACTGTGTGACATGTCTGCTTTCTATTAATGAACTCTGAACATCACTATCTCTGGCACCCAGCAGAGTCCAGCATGTAAATATCCAGTAAGCAAAAACAGACGAGAGGCAGCAGCGGTGGTGGTGATAGGGAGTGGAGGGAAAAGGGTTTAAGGAATATAAACATAACATCAGAGAGGATTTTAAGAAACGTCTT